ACAGAGGTTCGAACAGCTTCTTTCATGGGTAGCAAGGAGATAATTTCCAAAAGAACCTCGTCGGGCAATTCATTGATACCCTTTTTTAGAGATTTTACTTCTACAAAAGGCATAAAACAAAAAAAAAAAAATGCTAAGAAAAAACCAAGTATATATGGTGATGAACTTGTTCGAAAAACAAATATCAAATAAATTGCCAAGAAAACTAAGGAATGGAAAATGAACAAAAAAAAGTAAGAAAAAGGGAATAACACAAGATCACCTGGAGTTTCCATTGTTGGATTTTGACCGAATACTTTCACGAATTCCTATGTAATGTGTTCTTGTATTTTGGGGTTTTGGTGGTGGTGGATACGGAAAGTTGGAGAGGTGAGAATTTTCAGAAAATACTGCGCCGTAATGCACTTGCTTTTGTTGGCCCAGCCCCTTTTTGGCCTATAACGCAAAATTGGCCTGCCCTTTCAATAAAATAATTATACTTCAGAAAAAAAAAATTAACTAAAAAGAATTAAAAATTCTAGCCTACTGTAATTAATACTTACAAAAAAAAAAAAAACATTTTACAGTTTTAAATATTTTAAGTTATAAAAAATTTAACCATTTAATGATAAAAATCCTTGATGTTAAGACTCTCTCTATCAAATAAATTATAATTTATAATTTAAATTAAAAAACAAAATAACTTAATACTTATATTATCACAGACACAAAAAAATTAAACGTTCTTCATTTTCAGTTTCATTTTTTTAAAAAATATTTTACAGTACGGTTTTTAGGTTCTACAAATAGCACAGGCCTTTGATTAATGGGGTCAACCCTTTAATTCACCACCTTCATCGAATCCTTGTTTTCGGACGTAAAAATAACTTGGAAAAATAACCTTCTCAAGTCAAAATTTGGGGCTCTGTGGTGTGGTGCGTGACTGCGTGGTTCATGTTTTGATTAACTTGATATTGTGTATTTTTTTTTTTTTTTTAACTAAGGGAATTGTGAGGGAGGGAGGAAGTAATGTCTGGGTGTAGAATCAAAATCTTGTATGTCATAACACATTTCATGTAGATTATGATCATTAAATCACATAATGCTAGACACTTGATATAGTATATTTAAGTTGCATGTGAATGTCATTTCAGCATGGTGCCAGGTACAATGCATATGAGAATGTCTCTGGAATCATCAATTTGTCAATTGAAAAAAATTACAGAAAGTTGAAAAAAGAAACAAAGTCGAATTACAGGTTTTCAAACGACAATAATTAAAAGAGAAAAGAAAGTGAATTGGTAGTTGGAATGCTAGGATTACAACATGCATAAGGTTACTTTGGGTGGAGGCCAAGAAAGGGTGAGGGGTGATTGGATCAACGCGAAAAGCAACTTTGTTTCAGATATTATCTTTAATTAAGGGAGAAATGAAAATACATAGATAAATATTTAGGATGTTGTGAAAAAACAAGTTCGAAAAATTGAGGATTATAAAATGGTTGTAGGCGTTTGGGCTCGGAAGCCTTGGGTCGTGGGGCTTATTGCGTATTTGTTCTCCTCGTATCAGCTCAAGTGGTACTAGGGTCACTCGTGAAATCCTCTTAAGAGAGGAGTCCTCCGGAACCTCAGGTTCGATCCCTGGAGAGGCGTTCCTACAAGGGGAACAAATACGCAATAGACCCCAAGGCTCAAGGCTTCCGAGTCCAAACGCCTACAATGGTGAACATTATTTGTGAGTTTTGAAGAACAAAAAAGTGTTATAGTTTGAATTATATAATTTTAATTATTAAATAAATATAAAATTTTTAATAAAAATTTTATTTTTATTTAATAATTTTAATTTTATAATCTAAATTATAAAATAAAAAGTTCTTTAAAAAAATTAAGTGAAATTTGAATACAAAGTGATTAAAGGATTTTTTCCTACTAAAGAGTTCTAAATAAAAATGAGAAGTTTTCAAATAGGAGTTTCCATAATTTTCTAGTAGCAGCTGTTCCTGGGATAAGAACCAAGCTGCAGGTAAGATAAGTGGCCTGCCTTTGCATTAATAATTTGTTAATTTGAGTAAAAAAATAAGTTTTTAAAATAAAATATTAAATTTAAAATTTATAAATAAAAAGTAAGTATTAAAATTTTTTTAAGATACAATATAATTTAATTTTAAATTAATTAAAATTTAATATAATTATTTGATACCAACAAATTAATAAAATAAAAAAAATAAATGACCCGCGACGAAGTTTGTGTCTTGCACCCTTGTTGCGCCCGGCGACCCCACCTTTTTTTCTTTCTCATTTTTTTTCCCGTTTTTTATGGTCTTTAATTTTTGAATTGAATCTTTTCATTTGAAAAAGAAAGAGAAAAAATAGTTAAGCGAATGGAAATTGGATGGACTTGGCGTCTCATTTCTAAGGATTTTTGTGTATTGGAGGATTTTTTGTATTGAAACGGTGTTATAAGAGTAAATTTTTTATATTATTTTTTTGATATAATTTTTATATGTCCCATCAAATTAAAAAAATCACATATTTCATATAAATTAAAAAAATTAATTATTTAAATATCACATCAGATTATATAAAAAAATAAAATAAAAAAATTAGTAAAAATCATTTCCTTTTTGTATTTTTGGAATCTTTATTTGAAATGTTGTGTTTGAGGGGACATTTGCACTTATCAAGCGATCCAAGACTTTTGAATGTAGAGTCATCCAATATCTCTATAGGTAACGTTTTTATTGCACATCTAACACCTCAACCATTTTTAAGGGTTAATATTTTATAATTTAAATTATATTAAATTATAAAATTAAGAAAATGAATTTAATATTAATGA